CCCCCCTTACATTAAAGAGATTGTATTGGACAATGACTATTATAGAATAAAAATTGTGAAAAAGGGCTATTTTAGCACAAACCCAAAATTAGCAAGCCTATACAACTATAATGTCAAAAAAAGAATGTATTTGCTATACTACTTTTTATTTATAAGAATAGTCTAGCCGTTTTGCTATACTATTTTTAATTTTATTTTTAAGTATTGCCGCTCGGTTATGCGTTTTAAATATATCAGAATATTTAAATAGTATAGACACGCGAAATTTCTATCTGAAACAGGTATGGGTATCCCTTCTTGTGATTGTTTCAAAATTTTCTCGTTGGTTCTTCGATTTGGGGGTTATGTGTTTAGGTTTGGTCTGGGTTCTAATGAACAAGCATAACTCATTTCAGAGGAACCAAGGTCTCCGAATTCAATTCCTGGCCCATTCAGTTGTAGAGTATAACAGAGTATAGTCCATTCAGTTGTAGAGAATTGAGAAACGAGTAAAGGAAACACCTTTTGACCCGTAACTATTTTGTTGTTTAATTCTGGGAGTACAATTTTATTGCTCAATACCAAATAAATGTTTAAAATCAGTAAAAAAAATCTATTTATATAAATTATAAAAATAAAATAAAATAAAAAAGGACACGACCGCCTAGCCGCCTAGGCCGATTTTTCGAACACTGCCCGGAAAGCATTTGTTCAGCTGAGTTCTATGATTATCACAGTGAACATACAAACTTCTAAAACATTTCTGATTCAGAAAAACCAAATTCAATGGTAAGACAGAGAAAACTGATCGACGCAGAAAAGAAAAAAACAAAAGAACACAACCCAATATGAAAAACTCACAGGAACTGAATTGAGGACGGTCAGAAAGAGCTTGATCAACTTGTCCAGCGAACTTATCATCATTATCAGCATCACCATCAGGAAAACCCCATAAAGGAGAACAGGGCTGGTCAGTGGACGAGAACAAAGGAGGGGACGTGGGGTTAGAAGGAAAGTGAATCGGATCCAACGGCCAAAAAGCATCGAGGTCAAGATCAAACTGTTGAAGTGAGTCTCCTAATTAATCAAGGAGATTTATTTCCTTGATTAATTAAGGGATTTACTTTCTTATTTTATAGATTTATTTCCTTGGTTAATTAAGGGATTTACTTTCCTATTTTATATAGTTGTCAAATCATTGTATAATTAGGAGATATTTTCCTAATCCTTTACTAGATCTAATTCCTTGTAAAGCACTCATGTAAACTCTTATATATACCTCCTTATGGAGAAGAATAAAATAAGAACCTGAACATATTCAAACCCATATTCATATTTTAGCATGGTATCAAAGCAATCGATCCTCGGTTGTCTCTAAATTCTCATATCAAAATTTCTCCTCCCCTCCTCTTCAAGGGGGGGAGGGGGAGTGAAAACGGATCTGTTTCTCTTTATTATGGAGATTTTGCCTCTTTCTTGACTCCGACATACCCTTCTCTTCAGGGGGAGAAGAGAATTGAAGAGAAGTTTCTATGTCCTTAGCCGTGTTCACAGGGTTTCTGTGTCCTTTAACCGTGTTCACAGGGTTTCTGTGTTCTCTAAATCCTCGTATCATCGTATCG